GAATTTCACCCGCCTCCACGATGATGAGATTTCTCCTCGATTAACTATCGAGGAAATCATATCAAGTACCCCATCATCTAAAAATGAAACCAGTATATTCGAAGGGATCCAAGACGAGACCCGGAAGAACACTGCCACACGTCGAAATGTTGTGGAAATTGACAGATTTGCCACTGTTGTCCTGTGAGTGACTTAATCCAAGATACAGATTTCTAGAAACGCTGGAACAGAGGTATGCTGACATCAATTTATTACTGACTTTCTCTTGACAACTAACGTGGGACCGGGCATCACACTTCGAAGACCTTGGTTTGATCCCGTTTCGTTTTCAACCCTCATAACTACTTATCAGAAGACATGTACACGGCTCCTTTGTTGGCAGGCCGCATTAAGAACCTGGATAATCACTCAATATTACGATAACCTTGACTTAATTATCTATCTAGTTGCCACAACTGGTATAAACTCCTAAAAACTCATTCTGAGGATTGGTCCCAACTAAGCTAATCCCTGTCGCACGCTCAGTCCCCTTTGTCTCACCTCTGTATTCACCCTGTCGAATTACTTGTTTTCACTTCAATTATTATTTGTAGTTCACCATGTAATATCATATGTTTACCATTCTTTTGGAAGTAAAATCTTCCCCACTAATCATATCAGTACTACCAGTGTTAATATTGGCGTCACACAGCTTGAAAACTTCAACAGAGGAATATCAGGAAGGAGAATTAACGCTTTTGACAGCAGTTCCATTGTCAGCCACGTCTCGTAAACCGTTAATGCCCAGCTCTTGCTGCACTCGGGCTCACGCTGTTCCTTGAAGTTTCTCAGAAACGCTTAGTAATAACGGACGAAAAAACCAAAACACCAGATGGCGACTCGAGGATTCTTTATTGTAGCACCAACATATAAACACTGTTACAACTAAGGTCTGTGAACAAATGTTACAATAATAAATCACAATATTACTTCTGACGGTTTGCTGCTGACTTCTTTCTGAACAGCGACCGATGAGACGATGACTGTCGTATTGATGCCTCCGCGAAAATTGGGGAAGTTGATTTTGAGCAAACAACCAAGAATTGATCGTTCAATCTTCAACTCCATTGACACTCCCCGGCAAAAAAGGGATCCATCCCTTTTTTCCACCACGACCAATACACGTTGACTTGGATGCCAGTGTGAGAACCTGGGTCACACGGACAGAGCTGAAATGGAAAACAAACAGAAAAGTCAACACACCCAGTACGTTCGAATCAGGTGACGCTTTTGCATGTGTTTTCGTTTATATTCATTTATTGGTTACTAATAACTGATCTTTAATAACGATGGTTAAAAATTCTAAAAAGCGTGTTCGTGTGAACACCACTAATTTACAAAATAGCACCAGCTCGTCTAGTAACACATTACCACCCCATATTATTAGTAGTTCACCCAACATAAGAGCCTCGAACATAACTCTGACCCCTGTAATACAGGTGGAAGATGTTCTGTCTGAAAAAGTAGAGCTCTCTTACTTAACGTGCGTAATTAAAGAGATGCAGCTACAGATAGATGAATTAAAAACGAAATTAAGTTCACTAGAATGTATACCCGAAACTATCTCACGTATGAAAAAAGAAATGCAGGATCCTACAATCCTAAAGCTTTTTAATATGACCTCTAGAATGACTCATACTGACTCAGAAAGTGCGAAGGAGTTAGAAAACGCCATCGACTTTCTATCCAGCGAAGTTGTTAGAAGGCTGGCTTCAAAACAAAACGCAATAGTGTATAATGTACCGGATAGCGAGCCCATAAAGTCAGTCCAGCACTCATTGCTGAAGGCTGCAAATCTCTTGAATGCACCTTGTCAGTGCATTCGCCTAAGCAAAAAAGACCTAAAGCATCCTTGTCCTATACTCTTTAGGTTCGACAGCTACATAACAGCTGAACGATTTAAGATGGCCGAAGATCTTCTGGCTACTGCCACTAAATTCAAGACTATTAAAGTAGTCTCGGATAAAACACCAAACCAAAGGCAAGCAACCAAGAACTCCTTCGATACAAAGTTGACAACACTGAGAAATACATCTGGTATCAGTGCTAAAGTGTCGACGGACACTGAAGCACAGCAAGTCACGTGTATAGTGTTAGGAGAAAAAACGGCAAGTAAGAGCGACCCAAAACTCAGTAAGAGCAGTGCCACTGGGTGCAATCTTAGAGTGCACGAGAGCACATCTCGAAAACCTGCTGACCTACATAAGGTTGACATAGACGCACAAACTATGGCTGACCAGAAACTACTGGCAGACCACTCTCAATCTGGATCCAAGCCAGAGAGTCCCTCAGTAGAAACCGCAAAAAAGACCACAAAACCCAGAGTCCCACCCCAGACTTCGACATACCTCCCTCGTAATAAGTCTAATAAGCAGCGTGTCAGTCTAAAAAATGACAAAGCATGGGTAACGAAGCACATTCCCAAAGACGTCACGCAGCATGTGAGAAGGAATACCCCTTCCCGAACTAGAAGTAACATGCCTAACAACGCACATAACTTGGGAATGCAACGTAGAATGGATCCTCAGGATATATGGAGCACTAAACGGGACTCATATAGGCACCATATTAACGAAAATCCTCGTCCAAACTCTCGCACTATCTATGTTAAACCTCATCAACTTAATGAGAACAGGTCGGCACTTGATCCCCTCAATAACTTCACTCACACACGTGACGTGAGCCAATATGCATATGGCTATGAAAGCCCCATGAGGTACAACTACCAGGGTAATCTTAACACAGGGTACCTAGGTCCAGCAAACTACAACCCAAATTGCAGGGCAGACCATATATCACCAGTAGATGAACGCAGATGCCGACCCATGGATGCTAATAGTCAAAATATGCAACAGGATTATTTTCGGCTGCAGCAAACAATAGCCCCACTCGCTGCACAGTTCATCCAGGAAATAGTACACACACTGACTCTGTCTCACCTCAGAGCCCCTCCAAACATAACGTAGGGATAGTGACAAGTAACCATGTTAACCTCTCCTCCAATAACTCTGGTTTACTAACAATTATGCTCCTGAATGCTAGATCTCTCCTTAATAAAATAACAACGCTTCGCTGCCTGGCATACATAGAACGGCCAACACTAATAATGGTGACTGAAACCTGGCTTACTACTGATATACCTGACACAAAGCTAGTAATAGACAACTACGACATCTATAGGAACGATAGAGTTGACAAAAGAGGAGGCGGTTGCTTAATATATGCCTATAAATCCACTAACTCCAATACTTTCAATAACCCAAATACTGACAAACTCCCAGAATCTAAGTGGATAAGCATCCACACAAACGAAAGTAAAATTCTCGTGGGATGTATATACAGACCCCCCAATAGCCCTGAAATGACTGATATAACTATTGCAGAAATACTAGAGCATGTAGCCACGCTGGACTTCGACTACAAAGTAGTATGTGGAGATTTCAACTTACCTGGAGTAAACTGGGATACCTGTACAGGACCAAGAATCCATGAAGAGCTACTACAAGCTATAGACATAGGAGGATGGAAGCAGTGCGTGCGCCTCCCTACAAGGAACCAAAATACTCTTGACTTAATCCTCTGTCATAACATAGAGCCCATCTCGATAGAGGTGGGAAATAAACTCGATAACAGTGATCACAACATATTGTACTGCACGCTACCCCTCCGACTAACAACTAAATACACACCTAAAAATTCCCCGGTGCGCTATCAATATAGGGACTATAAGAATGCTGATTGGGAATTCCTATCAGATCTGTTGAGAAGTTCTGACTGGGAAGAATACTTCATCAACAATAACTTAGAAGTATCACTTGAGATTTTCTACAAAACAGTTGGCTCAGCAAGAGACACAATCGCGCCCCTAAAATCTGCCCTAAAGACACCAACTCCATTTATTGACCGGAAAACGCGACTAAAACTAAAGAAATTGAAAAGGAAATACCATGTATTTAAGGAATTTAATGCGTTAAACCAAATACATGAAACTCTTAAACTGCTTGAAGAGAAACACAAAATGAAGTCACAACATGAGGAAAATAAAGCGCTAATGGGTAACACCAAAACTCAGGAACTTTGTAGGATATTGCAAAAACGTCTAAAAAGCAGTAAAGACAATAATGTAAGCATCTTGGAACATAGGGGTGTAATATACAACGATCCCCAGGTTATAAGTGAACTCCTCAGTGAGTGGTTTTGCAATGACACCAGAGTGCACCCGACCCCAAATTTCCAAATGACCTGCAAAAGTAACCACAAATTAGGAGAAATAGATTTTAATATACAAAATATAGACTCAGCGATTAAGACATTGAAGTCAAATGGCAGTACTGGAACAGACGACATACCATCTGTCATATACAAAAATGGTAGCACGGAAATGGTAGTCTTGTTACTTAGAATATTTACTCTGTCACTGGAAACTGGAACTTATCCTGAAGTGTGGAAAACCACATACATACTACCTAAGCACAAAGCAGGGGCCAAAACCAGTGCATGCAACTATAGACCTATTAATATAACACCGGTAATATCACGAATAATGGAGAAAGTGGTTAAAGACCAAGTGTCAGACAACTTACTAGAACATGAACTTATCAACCCATCACAACACGGATTCCTCAAAAAGAGATCATGTGCGACCTGTCACATAGACTTTTTCAACGAAGTTACACGAAGCAGGGACAACAGAGAACTAGTAATTGTGCTATATTTCGATATAACAAAAGCCTTCGATAGAGTCCCCCATAATCTGCTAGTCTACAGGTTATGCAAAAAAAATCACTATGTCCCTCTCTTGAGCTGGATAAAATCATTTCTCTGTGACAGAAATCAGATAACAAAAGTTGGCTCGATAATCTCAAGGCCTAAACCTGTAAGTAGTGGTGTAATCCAGGGAAGTGTATTAGGCCCACTCCTATTCATAATATATATAAACAGTATCTGTGAATGCTTTAGTGTTGGTAAACCAATACTATATGCAGATGACTTAAAAGTGACCTATAAATGCAAGAACACAGATCTCGGAATAACATTAAACGCCATACAGCAAGAATTAGAAAAAATGGATAGATGGTGTGACACCTGGCAACTCCAGTTTAATGTCGACAAATGTGGCTGGCTCTGCATAGGTTGCAACAATTTAGAACTTGACCTGACAATTCAAGGCCATGCACTTTTACGACTGGAATCTGTATTGGACCTAGGACTGAAATACTCACATGACTTATCATTTTCTGAACATATCTCCAAACAAGTGTCAAAGTCACGCAGACTTATCGGCTTTCTACTCAGGAACTTTTACAGAAATGAGTCCAGAATTCTGTTGTACAAGGTTTGTGTGCGTCCTTTATTTGATTACTGTTCATTCATGTATAGTAGTATACGCATAGAGGACAAATTGAAAGTCGAGGGAGTGCAGAGGTACTTCACGTCAAAATTACTCGGAACCGAAAATGGTGCGAACTACTCCACTAGATGTGACACCCTAGGATTAGAAACACTATGGCTAAGACGCCTGAGACTAAACTTAACACTTTACTATAAGCTTCTAAACCACTTAGTTTTTACCTCTACTAATGGCATTCGACTTTCAGATGACAGTGGCTACAAACTAAGACACACTAAGGGTACAGTAGCTATCGAACAATGTAAAACAGCTACCAGGCAAAAGTTTTACTTGATTAGGTATGCACAGATATGGAATAAACTACCAATGGAAATGCGTCAAGCAGGTACATTGGCCTCATTCAAAAAAGTGCTTAACGACAAACTACAAGAGTTTGCAAACGATAGTAGTCCTAGTTCCTATCTGAGAGCCTCCGAAATTATAGGTCCATTTAATGTATAAGCTTAAATACTACACCTGTTGTTTTTTGCCTATATTTATAATTTTAGATAAAACATTAACGATTAAGATACTTACCCTCAAAAAGACAAGAAGTTTCGTTTGTAAAACTTCTACCCAACACAATAAGTGGAATAAAATGGACATAAACCGACAACGTGAAAAAGATATAATTCACCACAACATCACATGGACAGATGTACGCTCGTCGGGCATCTTATATACCTCACCAGCCACAACTCAACTTTCCTAAGATAATGTGATGAACTTATATCCGTAATGTTGCTGAGCAGCTAATATCCACAACTCCTGTCGGAACAACTAAAATTCAAAAACCCTCCTCATGAGAAGTAAATACCCACAAGCAGTAGAAATCCATTAATTAATGCGTCCAAAGCCTATGTATTTTGCTCCCAACAATGACATTGCAGATCAAATGAGATAAGCAAATCACTGACTTCCAAATAACACAACAATGAACTATAATTCAAGAATTCTGTACACAACAAAATTATGTATGAAAACCGACTTCAAGCTTTATTTTTTTCCCAGGCACTTATAACCCATCCACCAAAGACCTGGTTTTTTTGTTAATGCGAAGACAATACTTCTGTATTTCCTGATGTGTTGCACTCACTGACAATCTAGCGGATTTTTCCAACTATGCACAGAAACGATTGTACATAAGTGAAAAGGATGTTTTATACTATTGCGATTAACATTTATCAAGTGTATGTATAATCTCCAGTGTACATGTTAAACATATTCTGATATCGACTGTAAATTGTGACTGAATAATATGGTCCTATTTCTGTAACAGTTTGATGATGCCTGTAAACTGGCGTCCCTCGTGTACTGTACCATGAGAATCAATCTATTTATTTATTTAAATGAAATAAACATTTCTCTGACTTCCAAATAACACAACAATGAACTATAATTCAAGAATTCTGTACACAACAAAATTATGTATGAAAACCGACTTCAAGCTTTATTTTTTTCCCAGGCACTTATAACCCATCCACCAAAGACCTGGTTTTTTTGTTAATGCGAAGACAATACTTCTGTATTTCCTGATGTGTTGCACTCACTGACAATCTAGCGGATTTTTCCAACTATGCACATAAACGATTGTACATAAGTGAAAAGGATGTTTTATACTATTGCGATTAACATTTATCAAGTGTATGTATAATCTCCAGTGTACATGTTAAACATATTCTGATATCGACTGTAAATTGTGACTGAATAATATGGTCCTATTTCTGTAACAATTTGATGATGCCTGTAAACTGGCGTCCCTCATGTACTGCATGAGAATAAATTTATTTATTTATTTATTTATTTATATACCCACAGCACAATCTCACACATCAATGACGACCTCCGCCTTCCAGTTAAAGGTGTCCTCTTGACATTTTGCAACACAGTCTCCACTTACTAGAATGACTTTCGCAGAATGCAACGTGACCATAGAAGCACCTCACGATACTCTACGCACATCCTCTTATCTACTCGCAACCAATTACCACTGAAATCGCTTGTCACTCATTCTGCCTCAGTTCTGGTAACGGTGACGTATGCGAGCCTCAGTCGTTTACACTCTTGCTCCCCGGCGTGTCGGACCGCAGCTAACAATTATCTCCGTATGCATTTCATTCTCTGCAATAGCCTAGCCTCCCCAGCGTATACGCCCATCTGCTGTCCTTAACATCAATCAATTTATTCATGGATGTAGAAGACTCGAAACAACTTCAGAAGTAATCACGACGAAAATTTTAACAAAATTATGCAATAACAACAAGATACGAAAACAACGAGTAATCACAATGAATCCAAAAAACATCAATTGATATGACACACCATACATATATACAAACAGTACAAATAACCTCGCCGATCATGTCTTGGTGGAATTCCTTGGAAGGATTGCAGGACTTACACCACTACGCCTGCAACCCTTCACAGGTTGACGATTGTAATTTGTGGAATGTCCGGACATAAGCAAGATTGACCAACAATTGCGATAATTGGAACTCACACAATTATTTAACACAAACATATGTACAATCACTACATCAAATGTTGTGGATTCCGGCATGACAAACTACCCTTGAAGAACTGTAGGACTTACAGCAGTACGCCTACATTCCTTCTCAGGTTGATGATCCAAGTGGAAGTCGTCCGGACACAAACAGAATTACTAACAGCTAGATGACAGATGATATCAATTCAGTATATACAATATGAACATATGTACAAAATCACACACCAAGCACATTGGACTGCTCATTGATGCGCTACCCTTTGAAGAATTGTAGGACTTACAGCAGTACGCCTACAACCCTTCTCAGGTTGACGCTCTAGGTTGGAAAATCGTCTAGTGTTTCATCCTCCGACTCTCTACTCTCAGCACCTTCCAGTAGACACAGTTTTCTAATATCTCGCAACAACATGCCACAACTTTTTCTCACCTCAACCGTCCTCACCAATCCATCACCACTACAGATAGCCTTACTACCACTCCCAAAGGCCACCTACCTGTGGCACATTTATCTGCTACTAATACTATGTCACCAACCTTTAAGTTTCGGCACAACTTTTTCCACTTGTCCCTGGTTTGCAGTGTTAGAACATACTCCTTAAACCATCTTTTCCAAAATATATCTTTCATGTGCCTGGCTTGTTTCCATCTTTTAATCGTAGGTATTCCTTCCCCGCTTGAGTCCTCTATGCCAGGGTTGCCTCTCAATAACAATAATTTATTTGGGGTTAACACATCAAAATCCTTGACGTCGTCCCTCACAGGTGATAACGGCCGGTCATTTAATATTCGTTCAGCTTCACAAAAAAATGTCTCCAGCGTTTCGTCATTCAAACTCTGGTTTTTAATTATGGAGCTTAAAATACGCTTGATAATTCCTATAAGTCTTTCCCATAGCCCGCTCTATGGCTGGCATGTGGTGGGTTGAAGTGCCACTCGATGTTCCTTTTCAGTAACTCTTCCTGAACTCTCGTTTGGGGACCTTCGAAGTACTCTTTAAGCTCGGCGTGACAGCCAACAAAATTAGTCCCTCTGTCGCTGAACATCATCTTCGGTACACCCCGGCGATTTATAAATCTATGTAATGCTAGCACGAATGAATCAGTAGTTAGAGTATGAACCATCTCAATATGCACAGCTCTCATTTTCAAACAGGTGAATAAACAGCCATATCTTTTACATAGGGTTCTGCCTCTCTTCACTACAAAAGGTCCGAACAAATCCACCCCAACGTACTCAAATGGATAATTCCCTTCAGAAGCTTGCCACGCTGGGAGTGGTGCCATCATCTGCTGTACTGGACGAGCATTTCGGAGTTTACATTCCATGCACTTATCAATTATTTTACGGACAGCGGTACCTCCCTTCACTATCCAGAACTTACATCGAATACTTGATAGTACTTGCGAAGTACCCAAATGACCTTCAAGAACATGGTAGTGTCTTATAATGAGATCAGTGACTGGATGGTAGCAAGGTAATAAAGCCGGATGACGGGTCTCATATGACGATTCTAACATTTGTAGACGTCCACCAACTCTAGCGATCCCTTCGGAAACTATCGGAGATAATCTATCTAACCGCACCTTGAAATCTGCGAAATCGGGACTATCCTCCTTGGCAATCTCACCCCACGCTTCCCACTGAGCAGCCCTCAAAATCGCTAACTCTGCATTTCTAATATCTTCGACTCTCAAAGGCCCCACATTCATATTTTCGTATCCCGCAAGATGCATGACCTTTAAATACGTAACATATCGTGTCAACCACGCAACAGCTTTCAGTAGTTTGTACCAAGAAGAATAATATTTAAAAAGTGGATGTAAACCTGAATGTCTTTCTTGAGTAGATGTTAAACTGACACTTGTCTTCAACTCCAAGGCACACTCGTTTATCGGTGGTTCATCTTCTCTACGAGGCCACATACTATCAGCCCTTAGCAAGAACTCTGGACCTTTCCACCACTTATTTTTAACCACATTCATATCAATAACTCCTCGCGAGGCTAGATCAGCTGGATTTTTTCCAGACGGTACGTACCTCCACTGCTCAACAGTTGTTAGTTCACGAATTTGAGATACTCTGTTAGCTACAAAACATGCATATCTTGCTGACTCGTTGCGTATATAATATATCACAGACATCGAATCAGTCCAAAACGTTACGGGATGCTTGGGGTAATCCAACTCTTTACACACCGTTGTGAATAACTGCGCAGCTAGTAAGGCTGCATTAAGTTCTAATCTCGGAATCGAAACCGTCTTTAGAGGTGCAACTCTAGATTTACCCATCACCAGGCTAACATCTATATCATTCCTTAAGGTGGTTCTGATGTATACGGCTGCACCAAATCCAACCTCAGAGGCATCAGAAAAAACATGGAAGTCAATTATATCATGATTTCTCGACGGCTTAAGTGGACGTGAGACGGAATGTAGATTCAGCATTCTTAAACTGTTAACCCACCCCTTCCACTCTTCTCTCTGCCTCTCACTTAATGGTTCATCCCACTGTAACCCTTTCCTGCATGTCTCTTGAAATAACCTCCTAGCCGGAAGTAGATAAGGTGCTACTAATCCAAGTGGGTCAAACACGGACGACAACACAGAGAGCACACCTCTCCGAGTAACTGGCTTATCAATATCACCAACACTAAATCCAAAGGTATCAGAGTTCACATCCCATCGCATACCTAATGTGCGTTCAACTGGTAGAGTATCAACAGGCAAATCTCGTACGGTAGGTGCTCTGTCTTCTGGATCTATATGCTTCAAAACGTCTAGGCTGTTCGAGACCCACTTAGTTAGACGAAAGCCGGCCTTAGCTAACACTTCAGTAATGCTTGTTGCAAATCTAACTGCAGACTTATCATCATCGAAGGAGGCTAAACAATCATCCACGTAGAAGCAACAATCTATGACGTCCAGCAAATCATTAGAACCAAATGTGGACACTGCCTTTCGTAGAGCAAAATTAGCACAAAATGGGGAGGATGTGGCACCAAATGGATGCACTGTCATCCTATATTCTGACACCTTACCACAAGGACCGTCATCAAACCACAAAAACCTCAAGTGATCTCTGTCACTCTCTGGCACCTTCACCTGTAGGAACATTTCCTCAATATCCGCCGCGACAGCAACTGTA